TAGAATTCCCTTTTTTTAAATACATTATAAATTACAATCGCTACTTTTTGTTATTTTTAGATGCTAAAATGATTATAAACAAAATAAAGCGTTAAGCAACAGTTATAATGATTTGTTTTTTTTTTCTTGGTCAACATACAGTTGAGGTGTGAATACACTCACTACAACCAATTTTTTTTCTATTTTCCTATTCTTCTCATTTACTCTAATTATCACTTTTCTTTTTTTCTCAATTACATTTTTCTCAATTCTTCTCAATTCTTCTAATGCTCACCAATCACAGTAAGCAAATAAAATACAATTGATTAGGTATTTTAAGTAAAAAACAATTATGAATCCAGTTTGAAAACAGCTTAAGGAGTAAGTTTGAATTCAGGAGTAGGTGTTAAAATCAAAAAACCAATTTTAAATTAATTCAATACATTAGAACATTCCGGAATCATTCAATACATTAGATAAGATAAAATTGTTTGGTATGCCTAAGAAGAGCAGAGCCAGAGAGTAGACAGTTTTAACTTATTAAGGACAAATACAGAGGGAATGAGGAATCACAACTCTTATGTACCAAACGTTACAGACACTTTAGCTTTGTAACAAAAAAACAAAACAAAACAGAGCTTCCATTACACAAAACAAATCACATAATTTAATAAGTTGTTGTTTTTCTTCTTCGATACTATTATTAACAACATTATAAGAAGCAAACATGAAATAAAATTTTAAAGAGTAGTTGGAAGATCTCACAGAAAATTACCTGCAAAAGACTTGAGCTCAGAGCTCAGTGTTGTTCATGGTAGCAGTTTCTGGATGATAATGAACCATTTCCTTCCACATTAGCTCTCTTATCATCTCTGCCCCCAAATCCTCGTCTTCGTCAACATCGAGATTAATAGGAACTTGAGCGGGAGGGTTTGCATTTGGGTCATATAAAGGCGCCATGTACGGATGCTGAAGTGCTTCTGTGACACTGATCCTTTTAGAAGGGTCAAGAACGAGCATTTTCTGAAGCAGATCAATGGCTAGAACGTGCGCCCCCGGGTAAAGACGAGAGAATGATATTCCCGGTGAGTAAGGGAGCGATTCTATGTATCTTTTGGCTTTTGGATTATCTATAAACGCGAGATCTTCCTCTCTCTGGCTCCCCAAAATGTTAATGATGAGTTTAATCTGGTTAAGACATTCTGTTCCCGGGAATATCGGTTTTCTTCCAAGAAGCTCGGCGAATATGCAACCAACTGACCATACATCAATGGAGGTTCCATAGTTGTCACAACAAAGAAGAAGCTCTGGTGCTCGGTACCATCGAGTCACAACATATTCAGTCATGAACTGTCCTTTGTTGTTGCTCGTCCGCGCTAGCCCAAAGTCACATATCTTTAAGTCGCAGTTTGCATTCACAAGGAGGTTACCGGGTTTTAGATCCCGATGGAGAATGTTGGCTGAATGAATATACTTGAGCCCTCGAAGCAACTACGCAAAAAGAAAAAAGCAAGTAAGAAACCTCTGCTTCTGCATTTATATGAGAAACAAATTTCTAAAGTTTCACATTTTCAAAAGGCAAACTATTTTCATGTTTTTATAAAATACTTTTGCAAAGGAGTAATTCACAAAAACCTGACACAAAAGCAACAGAACACGCAAATCTCGTACCTGGAACAAGAAGTATTGGCAATGATCATTGCTTAGCACTTGAGAGGACTTGATAATCTGGTGAAGATCAGTGTCCATGAGCTCATAAACAAGATACACATCCTTAAAGCTTCTCTTATGATTAGCCATCATGACATCTTTAAGAGCAATCACATTGTCATGTCGAAGATGGCGTAGAAGCTTGAGTTCCCTAAGTGTCCTCAACGCATCGATCCTATTCTCAAAGACATTGTGGATCTTCTTAATCGCCACTTTCTCGTTGGTCTCTCTGTTAACCGAAGAGCAGACTACACCGTATGCGCCTCGACCTATCGGCTTGATAGGCACGTATTTGGTATCGATCTCGAACAGTGTTTGCCACATTGAGAAGTAATGCTTCCCTTGATTCCTAATTCCATTTGGTGGATCAACCGGAGTCACCATTTCTTCCTCCTACTCCTAACAAAATTTATACAATAACATTCCAAGAACACAATTTTGAGCTAGTCTTAGCAAGATTTAAGAATTACATTACTTGGGAAATATTATGAAAAAATGACAAGGAAAGATCAAACTCTGATCCCACTTTGATCTGTTACTGGTGAATTAATAAAAAAAAAAAAAAGTACTGTTTCAGATCACTAGAATTACCAATCATGAAAAGAAAGGAACAAAATTGAATATTGATCGATTTTAAGATTGAGCTAAAAGGATCGGAATTTGCAGAAAACTTACCCGGCGAATGTTAGAGAAGAATCAGATTCGTCGGTGATCAGCGACGATCGCCGGTGAGATTTGGGCGGAGAGAGAGAGAGATTTGGTCAACGTTCTGACCGTTGACTCTGTACTTTCTCGTTTATTACAACACTTTTTAGATGTTTAGTAGTGTGTCTGTTCCTCTCTCTTTCTCTAATTAATCGGTCTTAAAAGTTTGGGCTTAATTAAGCCCAATCCAATTTAGAAACTGTAATTATTTATATTTTTGTAAATCTAGCATCAACAGTGGACGTGCCGGAGTGGTTATCGGGCATGACTAGAAATCATGTGGGCTTTGCCCGCGCAGGTTCGAATCCTGCCGTTCACG